TGCAATGACATCAACATCGGATGAGGCACATGTACTCCGCCTAAAATTATGTTTTTTTTTTTTTTTTTCACTGAAAATTCACAGAAAATGCAGTGTTTCAGAAATTCCAATAGGCAAACACTGCCATTGAGTTTTTCCTGAAAAATTACTGCTCACTAGCATAACTTTTAGTTTAATTTACACAAATTTGAAAAAAAAAAGAAAGCAAAATTATCATATTCAGCACAGAAACTGTTCAAACTGGATTTTTTTTTTCTTTTTGAATCGGCACCTCACTTTCTTTTACAGAGAAAATACTTTTTTCTCTTTCTGAATTATAGAATCAAGTTTCCTGTGCAGTCATATGCTGCAGTGGCTAATCCAAAACGTAATCCCCTGGCCAAAAAGATATCCCATATTCTCAAACTACAGTCCAGTTGCTGTGAAATGAAACATGACAAGGTTAATGAAATTCTGAAGGATGGCGGTTTGATGTGTTAATAAAAGGCTTACTACTTATAAGCTCAAATCTTTGCTCACATGTGAGAAACCTATTAAACTCTCTGGTACTGGAAATGGTAAAAAAAAAAACCACAATGATTCAATTTGCTCTTCAATTAGCATTTAGAACAGGAAATATTAGGATAAGAAGGGACCAATTTAGATTTCATGCGCAAGCAGACATTTTTTGATGCTGTTTGTGTTTCATTCCTTAGCTGTAAACACAGACCGAATATAGCATGCGGACAGGAGTGGGAATCATCAATATAGTCTATTGCCAGTCATGCATATGGCAAGCATATGTTCAGAACAGGGAACCACTGATAGTCTTTCCAGAGGGTCGCTGCTGTACCTTAGGTATTTCGATATTTTGCAGAGTGAAATTACAGAAAAAAGGGGGCCTCTTCAGCAAGTACTAAATTGATGGCTCAGGAATCAGCACCTCAAAAGTCAGTATTTTATTTCCTCGAGCTACAACAAATTTCCTTTTTTTATGAAAAAGAAGCAAAACATACCGGAGGAATAGATCGGTGAGAACATGCCCAGATTGTTGTAACAATCAGGGCCAGGCACAAAATTTTGGAACGCCGTTACGCCTGAAAATTTCTCAAAATTAAAACTAAAATAATGAGCAATCAATGCAGATATGCGCACATACGTTGTTTCGAAGGCGCACTGATCGATCGTACTGGTACCGGAATGCAACAGGAGCATTGGCGAGAAACAGTGATATTTGGGCGAAAACGGATTACTTCCGGAAGCAGTAGAATTACTCAAATGAGCGCTTTTCAGGCGACTTATACTTCAGCTGCTTTCATTATATTCAATGAAGACGCTAAATGCATACTTGGAATAGCTGGTGATTCCATAGATGGTCCCAGGACGAGGTCCTGTGAGGAGGCGATGGGGCGATGGGGAGGAAAGTGCCCTCCCACCCTGGAACTATGCAAGAACTAGGAATAGAGTTGTAACACACTGCTACTTAGAGTTACTTTAATTTCGAGTTATTTTAGGCTTTAGTTTTAGCTTTAGAACCGGGCTTTTGCCTGTGCCATTGGGGAGGTGAAAGGCCAACAGCATTGGTGCCTATGCCGTTGGGAAGGCGAAAGACCAATAACGCACCTGGCAACCAAAATTAAACCCAACAATAGCCATTTACAGCAGATTGCTTCCAGAAACCGCACTGTGTCTTTCCGACCAATTTCCGCCTCATTTTCTCCCAGGGATGGAGTGACACATCAGTGGTCAGAGTGGCAACTGGCCCGTAATATCTTTCCCGAAAATTTTTTTAGGAAAATTGAAAGTTTGGGCTCACCGATATGACAAGCAAATCAGTACCAATTTACGACCTAGATGAATGGACGAACAAGCTGGCAATTCCCAGGAAGAGA